AAATAGAATTACAATTACACGTTGTAGCAGTTGCTTTGTAATTGGCATGCACACTCACACTCACTCACACACACACACACACACACACACACATGTGTTTCTCTCGGTGTTGCCTGTCTTTGGCATTGATTGTTACAATGACTTATATGGGCGCCGCTTGAGGGCGTGCCCAAAACAAGTTAATAATTTTTTCGAAATTCATAAATACCTTGACGAACATTTTACTCGAATCTCAATACTCTATCTTTATTTTATTTTGTTAAGTTTATGCCAAAAGAAACTCAATTAAAGCCACTTTAGTCTTTTGATCAATTTTAGTTGCAATGTTTAATAGGGGTAGTAGCTGAAGGCGTGTTGGAAATATGTAAATAATTTATTCGAAAATCATAAATACCATGAGGAAAACATATGCCGAATTTTAATGCCCTATCTTTTTTTAATAAAAGTTTATGGGCTAAAATGTCAATGAAAACCACTGTAGGTCCTTTAATATGGATTAATGCAATGTTTTTTAAGGGCGCAGGCAGAAGGCGTTATCAATAGAGCAAAACCATTTATTCGAAATTCGTACATATCTTAATAGGCATCTATGTAAAATTTCAATACTCTATCTAATTTTAAAAAAAAGTTGATGGTCGAACAAAAATTACATTAATTTTCCAAATTTTTTCTTACAATGCTTATTAAGAATTTTGGTTGAAGACGTCGTCAAAATCAGTTAATAATTTTTTCCAAATTCAAAAAGGCACCAGTTAATACATATGCCAAATTGCAATACCCTATCTCTTGAGTAAAAAATTTTTATGGCAAATAAACAAGAAGCAGACTGCGGCCCTCTCTCTAACAATGATTGCAACAATGTTGCTGCAGTTGCCATGGCGTCTGTCTGTGTGTCTGCTTGTCTGTTTGACTGATTTTTCAGTTTTCGCTGGAAAAGCGAGACGCCCTCAAAGTGTGGCAGCAGGAATGCGAAGGCATTGCCAGCGCTGCCTCTGCCTCAGTCGCGACTTGCGACTGCAAGTGCCGCCCAGGTCTTTAAAAATGTAAGAGCTCAGCTCGCTGGCATTCAAATGCAAGAGTGTGTATATACACATATACTCTCACACACTCTCTATCTGTGTGTGTGTGTGTGTGTGTGTGCTGCTCGATGACTTCACACATTCCAGCGGGCAAACAAGAACTTCCTTGAGACCAAACATTGTCTTGAGCCACGGCTCCAGCAGCCCCAACAGCTCGAAAAAGAACTTGCAAAACGTCGAACCAGTTTTTGGTGAATGAAAAATCAACAAAACGAAAAAAAAAGCACACACACACACAGAAAAGCAAAAAGAGAAGAAAACGTTGCCCGGTTCTAGGGTACGGGCAAAACTAAAATACTTATAATAAAAAGAAATTAAAATAAAATTCAAAAATGTGCAAAACGAGCGAGAAACGAGTAACGCTGCATGCCACAAACGTTGCCACAGCCAGCGGCTGACGCTGAGGCTGAGGCAGAGACAGAGTCCAAGTCAGAGTCAGAGTCAGGGCCAGGGTCTGCTCAAGAATCCCGCACGCTCTCTCTCGCTCTCTCTCTCTCGCTGTCGCTCTCCCTCTCTGTTCGTCTTAGGCCTGGAACCTGTTGAACCAGTCGGCGGCTCACAAACACAGAAAATGCCACCAACGTGTTTTTTTTTCGGCTGCAGTCCCGCAGGATAAAAGCAGCCACTCGGTTCCGCTCTCAGCTCCCTCGCGCTCTCTCTCTCTCCCGCTCACACACACCCTTTCCCTCCCTCTCCCACTCGCGCCGTTCAATTCAAGTGTAAAACGCTGGAATGCGTTCGGCATTGGCCATATTTGCTGCACTAAATCAAGCGTTTAAACGAAATTTGAGTTGCTCCCCTTTTTCGAACCCCCCTCCCCCACCACAAATCGAATAAGAAGAAGAGCAAACAACAACAACAACAACATAATTCTGTTTGCCTAACCTTCGGCTTGGCCTCTCAGAGATCAACATTTGTTTTCTTTTTCGCCAGGCAACATAATTTATAGATGCCGTTTGCCTAAATTCGTTTAATTTCAGCTCTACACACACACGCACACACACATAGTTTACCTTTACCTGTTGTACCTTTTTGCTGTTGTGTGTGGGTTGAACCTGAAATTTCAAAACTGTTCACTCAAAGGGTTTTCAGCTGGAGCCAGTGTTGTCCTTTTGGGCCTTTTGGGCAGCACACGAAAAAAGGCTAGAAAATTACAATAAAATACAAAGTAATAAACAAAATAAAATCTGTCTACAAAATAGATAAAAAATAAAACTATAAAGATTAGTTTGAAGCTCACAGAAATAAAAACAAAAACTTTTTTTAAATTATATGTTTTGAAGATCAGACGATTATTAATATTGAAATAAAATTGCTTGACATATTTTTACAAATTAATAGAAATACCAATATGTAAACAAAAAATAACTGCATAAAAAATTAAAAAAAAAGTATAATAATTAAACTAAAAAAAATTATTTTAAATCCCATAATATATAGCCCATATAGACAAAATATTCAAATAATATATTTTTTAAACACAACAACTAAATAACTAACTTTCATAAACACAAAAGCTTTAAAATAAGACAAAAATCTTAGAGCAAGCTAAATTGTTATATCTAGAAAAAAGCTAGCCGATAAAAGGCTCAACAGCGCAACACTGACACAGACTTTGACTGTTTCTTTCTCCGCCCCCTCTCTCTCAACATCACGAGTTCTTGCTCTCTCACTCTCTCTCTCTCTCTCTCTCTCTCTACTCTCTTCCTGATCATTCGTACATTATAATTTATAACTTTATCTAAACGATGTGCTGGTGTTTAATTTTCGACTTCACCTTTTCGATCTCGTTTTTTTTTTTCCTTCAGTTTTGAATCGTGAAACGTTTTCTGTTTCCGCTTCGCATGACTCATGCCAGGATTATTTGAATATAGATATATATGTATATGTATTTGTGTATATAGCGCCACTTTGAGTTGAAAATATCTAAATTTCTTACCGTACCATTGGCATTGCTTAACAAGGCCAATGAAGGCGTTTGCCTAACAGCTGGAGATAAATTTTTGACCACCATGAAGTTTTCTTTGTTTTTCGGATTTCTTGTTAATGAAGAAATAGATCGGGACCAAAATGTGCTGACTAACAGGCCAACATGGTTTGGCCTGAGTGAAAGTCTTGCCAAAAAAGAAAACAACAACAACAACAACAATATGTCTCGCATTGTTGTTTCTAAACAATAGAAAAATCTCTTCGTAGACGCGTGCTGTGCGGCTAAGGGCAATAGTTCAGGCATTTAAGAGCAATTGACGAATGACAGGCTCTTAAAGAAATTAACATTGATTGAACAGTTAACACAGGCTTAGGCCTGTCCAGCTGACAGAGAGAAACGATCGCATATTTAAGCAGGCTTAAGGATAACAGTTCACACACACAATTAGGAGGCAAGATGAAAGAGCTGATTAAATAGCTGCAGAGATTTAGTCAACATTACTTCCACACGCTCCAAAGGTGTCAAATCAAACTGCACCTGCTTAGACCTTATATAGAGATAACAGCTCAAAGAGCTCATCGTTGAAGCTATAAATATTTTGTATATACGAATTCAATCAAACGTCAATTTAGATTGATTTTCGATTTGAGTGCATGCAAATTTATAGCGGCATGGATGAAAGGAAATGTTTTAGCTACATACATGCATACATACATATGTATGTGTATATAAACAAAATCAGATTCATAGATTGATTTGGTAGCCGATCAAAGCTCAATTTGCCTTCTTTATTTCTATGCTAATCAGCTACATAAAAGTGTCGTGCGAATCGATTAAAATATTCATCAAATTTAATGCCTAGAAGCCGTTTCTTAACCCAAGAAAATTTGATAGAAATGTGTTAGGTCTTACATATATTTAATTAATTTTTTTTTTTGTTATTTCTTTTGTTATTTTTTACATTTTTCTTTCGCAACATATCAAATGATTTGCTTTCATTGTTGCCGCTGTCTTGCACCACTGTTCGGCTAACAGTTTAATGTTGCTTATATTAGCAGCGCACGCTCTTGCGCTCTTCTCGCTAAGAGCGCACAACAGTGCCATTTTGAGTTTAACAGTCAGAAGCAAGACAGCAAAACATTTCAAATACTTGTCGCAAGCATCCACAAAAGCCAAAGCAATAGCAACAACTTAATTTACTCCCAACTGTACAACAATATTTATTGATAAATATTTGGCAGTGATAAATATGTAATTATTAATTAAGAAAATATTTAATATATAAGCAGTCAGATCAGTGGGAGATATCTGGATCAGATGCTGTTGTTGCCCGCCAAACGGAAAGAGAGTCAACCACTAAAGAGAGCCCACCAGCCGCAAGAGAGCGCTCGTATGCGTGTGACTGCGCTGCCTATGTGTGCGTGCCTTAAATGGTGTCCGTGCATTTGGAAAGAAACAGTTAGTTGTGAACGAAACGTCGCCGTGTTTAAACGTGTCGTCGCGCAGCAACGTCCACCGTAACGAAATCCCAAATCGAATTCACGTCTTAACGTATTTAAAATACTTGGCCAAGAGCCGCCAAACGCGAGTGGAATTGAAACGTTCAAATTGCTCAAAGCAACAAGCAAATGCAAAGCAATTCAAATAGATGCAATTAATTTCAGCTTTGAGCGAATGCAATACAAAGAAAAATAGAATAGAGCAAACAAATGAAAATCGAATTCTATAGCCAAGTTGTGCATTATCTTTAACTTTAAACTGCTGCTATTGATGATAAGCGGAATCTATGTCTACATACATATGTGTGCATGTAGATTGCTTTAATTACGGTTATGTCATGAAGCATTTGTAGGCGCACTTCCTTAAAAAAAATCTTTAACCACACGCAAAAATCTTGGCAAAGTAAAAAGCAACAGCAAAGAGAGAGAAAGAAAGAGAAAGAGTGTGTGACGTGCGTGTATTTTAGTTTAAAACAAAACGCTACAGTGACAACAACCACAACAACAACGACAATATTCGCAACTGTTATTACAACAACAGCAACAACAACAGCGAGAACAGCAGGCGAGACGCAGACAGCCCTCTCTGCGTGTGCTTTGCTTGTGTGCGTGTTTTGTTTCGGCCTAACCGGCAAGTGCAAAACAACAACAACAACAAAAAGAAAATAAGAAAAAGTGCCGCTCTCTTGCGCTCTGTCGCTCTTTGTCGTCGCTCTTCGTTTTGTGTGTGAGTGTATTGGTGTTCGCACAGCTGTTTGGTGCAACATGCAGCAGAGCTGCCTAAAATCGTAGACACACACCCAAGCAAACACACACACACACACGCACACGCACATACACAGGTGTCACACTCAAGTGTCCAGTTTGCATTTTCTCGCCAAATACCGTAAAGAATTTACCAACCACAAACATGTCCGGCAATCCTTTCAATCAACCGCTGCACCTCAGCCTCTGCCTCAGCCTCTGCCTCGGCCTGTGCCTCAGCCTGGCTGTGGCCAAGCATCTGGCCGCCGGCATCGACGCCGACGGCGACAACTCGCTCGTGCACCACCAGCAGCAGCAGCACAACCTGCATCAGCAACACCAGCATCAACACCAGCCGCATCAGCATCAACACAGCGCTGCAACGCATCATCGGCGTCGCCTGCAGCGGGACTCGCGCGCCAAGGATTTAGCGCAGCAGTGCGAATCAGTCAAGAGTTACTTCGAATCCATCGACATCAGGTCGAGTGGCGTATTTAATGAAAAAGGTAGGTGCTGCCACTCATAGAATCACACTGCAGATACCCTTTCATATGCCTTAAATCAACAGAGATTCGAAACATAATGACAATATTATCTAAAAGAGAATTAAACATATACTCTAATCTTTACTTAAAATAAGAAATAAGCACTTTTAAATAATTTTTTTTATAGATTTAAAAATAAACAAACCAAATCCGAAATTTAAATCAAATTAGTTTACCTTCATTTAGCAAGTCAGAAAGAAACATATATTTGTTTCAGTGTAGTGAAACAATTCTTTGGCTCAAGTCTATAAATATTCTTATATAAACAAGAGTCAAGCCATAAATAACCAGATTAAAGAGGAAGGTATTGAAAGTCAGTTTTACATAAAAAACGTATTTAAGATCCATAAATATAGAAACATTTTAATTTTAACCTGTATGAATTTCAGATCAACTTTGAAACATTTCACCAAGCTGTTAAAATATATTTATGCACAGTTTAAGAATTTTAAAGTAAAGCAAATAAATTAAAATCGTTTATGAAGCAAATTTATTTATTATTTACGGACGACTTTAATTTAAATTGTTTCTATTAAAGATAAGACAAGATAACACAATAATTTTAGAATTTCGTGACGCTATCTAGACATATTCAAATATGGCAATAATCTAGCAGATAAAACAAACATTTCCAATTGAACCTTTATATATGATGTTTACAGAAACATAACATTTCTGTTATCACTTAATCGGCATTCCTTAATGTTGTTAACAGAACTGTAATGAAATTTTATTTTTGTAATCAAAGCCATTAGCCTAATCTAACTAAAGTAGCGCATATAATATACCCATATATACATAAATAATAATACTAAGTAAATCGCTCTACTCATTTAATCTTTAATCAGCCATTTAATATACCCTGTAATTGTGCCACGCTTCAGAATCAGCCTGCCTGTCAGTCCGCTTAAGTCTCGTAAATCACTTGCAGTCAAAGTTTAGCTACTACTTAACATTGCTTGCCCTCTTGCGCCCGCCTTCTTTATCTGTCTAGGTCTCTCTCTCTTTCTCTCTCTCTCTCTCTCTTTCACACTTGACTGACTTAATGAAGGCGCATCTGTAACTATATGCAAATTCATTGAGCTGACTTCGACTCTCGAGTGGGCAGCTCCGTCTGTCTCGCTGTCCACCCTGTCCCTCCCGTCCGTCCGTCTGTCACTCGAGCAGCCAGCCGAAGGCAAAAGAAAACTATGAGCAAGTGCCTTGCGTCCGCAATTAGAAGCGTATTGAGCAATGCCTCGAAAACTTTTGCTCGGCCTGGATGGGATGTCTGGCCCCTCTGCCTGGCCCCTTTTGGAGCTGCCCACGCTGCAGCTTCATTTATAATATTTCGCATCTGTATCTATAGTTTTAGGTGCTGTAGCTGTAGCTGTATCTGTATCTGGTATCTTGATGTGTCGGCAGCGTCGTCATTTATTATTCTGGTTTTCTGGGCATATCAAGTGGCACGCATCTAACTGTGTGAAGGCTGTGGCGCATGAAAATTCATATTGTATATATATACAAATCAGCATCCATGAGATACTCGAAAATCGCGTTGGCATATTTTGTTTATGCATATTTCACACATGAATCTGGCTCGGCGCTAAGCCAAACAAAAAGATAACAACGAAGTGACACGAGAAGAGCCAAGAAAACAACGAAAAAAAAAAAAAAAAAAAAAAAAAAAATTCCAAGTTTGTATCTTAAGCATAATGTATCTATGTATAGCTAGCTATCTATGGCAATATGTATCTCGAGCATAATGTATCTTCAGCTCTATGGTTTGTATCTGAGGAATGCGAACTAAAGCAGCTCACGCAGCGCGGCGCGTAATTGAGTGAAAAATAATTATTATTGATTAACCGACCTNTGTGTGAAGGCTGTGGCGCATGAAAATTCATATTGTATATATATACAAATCAGCATCCATGAGATACTCGAAAATCGCGTTGGCATATTTTGTTTATGCATATTTCACACATGAATAAAAATGGGCAATATATCATTTCATAAAATATTTTCGAAAAGACAAAAAAAGAGCCAAAAAAACAAAAAAAAAAAAAAAAAAAAAAAAAAACAATAAGAAATTCCAAGTTTGTATCTTAAGCATAATGTATCTATGTATAGCTAGCTATCTATGGCAATATGTATCTCGAGCATAATGTATCTTCAGCTCTATGGTTTGTATCTGAGGAATGCGAACTAAAGCAGCTCACGCAGCGCGGCGCGTAATTGAGTGAAAAATAATTATTATTGATTAACCGACCTTGACTTGGTATTTACACGTTTACGCACAATTACAAAGCATAGATACTCAGATACTTTGTCTATGTGTGTGTGTGTGTGTGCATGGCATGATGTTGCAGTTCTTCGTGCTGTGCTGCGCTGTGCTGTTACCTGCCTGCCTGGCGAACAGTTTTTCTCACACGCAGGTAGTTAACAAATAAACACAAGTACAAATACAAAGGAAAAAGTATCTGTAAGACACAGCGCCCGCATCGCCGTCCACCTTCGACGGTCGACTGTCTACTGACTTTTCCAAGAGATTTATCCACATGAGCGCCTGCTCAATGGAGCTCACTTCACGGACTTTGACTTTGTTTTAGTTGTTATTAGCGTTTTGGCAATTCAGGAACCTTAATTTGTAACATAAGTAGCAAAGTATCTGTGTATCTGCTTGGCATTTGGCGGGACATGTGTATATCGGATCCCTTTGTATCTAAAGGATATAATTATACTGAATATAGTATCTATATATGTAACTCAAATAATGTGGGCATAGATCTAAATATATCTCTCGTCTATCTATATCTGAGCAAAGTATCTATGTATCTGAGCCCTTTACTTGTTCACTGAATAAATGTATCTGTATCTGAAAAATCTTTCTCTCTATATATATTGTATAAATAGGTAGTCATGCCATATAGTCATAAAGCTAAATCTCTACGCTTAGTCTATAGTCTATGTGTCTAAAGAAATCCATATATCTGACTATAGTATCTATGTATTTGTATCTGTATCTCTAGTATCTAAAAGCCATCTGTCATACATAGTGTATCTATATATCGTGTATAAGTGTAGCAAAGTATCTTTGTGTCTGCAAATCAAAAGCACAGCCTCTGCGTACGTGTAGTGTCACTTAATATCGATGTATTTATGTACCTCGGTATCTGTGTATCTGTATCTCTTCCTGTGGTCGTTGCTCTTAATGACTCGCCTAAGTGTGTGCCGAACTTCATTTGGTTCTTTAGCTCTAGCAATGAATTTGACTCGGACTCTGGCTTTGGCTTTGGCTCTGGCTCTGGCGCTGCCTGTGTCTCGGTCTGTCGTCTATTTACTGTTTACATAGTTCAACTTCTGCCACGCCCTGCGCCTTGTATTCATGCCCCGTCGTCCTCAAACAGTTTGTGTGTGTTACTTTTACGTTTATGTGCTGTTTGTGATGCTAATCTGATGTCTGTGTCATGCATACGATAAATGTTGTTGGATTTCTTCTTGTTTTTTTGTTGTCTTCAGGTATTTACGAGTGCGCACACAATATGTATCTGTAGCTATGTTTATGTATCCGTATCCGTATCTGTGTATCTGTGTCTGTTTGGTATGTAAACGTGGCCACGCACTTGGGCGCAATACACATAAAATTCAATTTCATTTTAATTGCGCGCACTATGCGACTGCTAATTGAGCTGTAGCTGCCTAGTATAAACATAACTAGAGCGCAAGATATGTAGGTACGTATGAGCTGGAAATAGCTTTAGCTGTTCAGCTCTTCAGGGTTTTGGCCTGTACGTAAACACGGCCCATTAGCATTAACACGTTACATGCTCGAAACAATGCCTCAAAGCAAACAGGAAGTCCTCCTATCTAATCATATCTCTAGCTGTATCTCTCTGTATCTCTCTGTATGTTCTGTAAGGCGATGAGCATGTTACTAAATATTTAAGCAACTCGAAATTAGAGCAAACTATGAACTACAAGCTACTACCTCCTTCTCTCTGTCTATCTCTCTTCCCTTCTCTCTCTCTCTTTCTCTGTGTTTGTGTAGATAGAAGCCAAAAACGTGAGCAACTCTTGCGCTTGTTTGTCTGCCAGGCACGAGATAAAACCAAAATAAAAGTGAAATAAAATAATCCACACTAAATCCAAACAGCAAATGTGATAAAAGATACTTAATAAAGTTCCTTGTGCTTGTCATAATTTTTTCAGGCCTCTCTAGATTAAAAGGCTAACAAATTGCAGTAATTTATTTGGTTGCTACGTCAAACATTTTTTACTGACTTATATAGTTTTTGTACATTTCATATAAATGATTTAAGACATCCGCTTTTTTTTTTTTTTTTTTTTTTGCTAGAATTTTTGTTAATGCTAATTAGCTTGCCAAATTTTTCGCTCAACTCTAATTATGGCTTAACTGCTGCATTAATCTTAAAAGCAAATACATCAAAAGCAAAAACAAAAACATACACATAATCTGTCCAAAATAAAATTCACAAATATTATATTCCACAACATTTTCTGTGCATGTGCAGGTCATTAAAATCGAACAAAGCCAAATATTTCAACATTTGCAAATGTTGTGCCAAATGCGATAAGACTTTAAATTTCAATAGTCTTTCATGTAGCTAATGAGTGTATATAGTATATAACATCATATTAATTATAATAAAATATGTAAAATTTTATGTTTAGGAATACAATATATAATATTGTTTTTCTGTTTAAGAACTACATAAAAAATATATATTTAGAGTTTTAAAAAATTGTATAGATTTATGCTTTGATTGTTGGTTATTCAATTTATGGAAAAGAAATATTAATAATAAATAGTAACACAGTAAATCAAAAATAATTAAAATAAATAAATAAATTTAAATTTATTCATCCATCATCAGATCCTCCTCAGATATTATGGACATCTCTCACTAAGTAATCCTTAAAATATTTAAAAAAAACCCATAATCTTGTAATCTTGTTCCATG